TATATATATATATATATATATATATATATATATATATATATATATATATATATATATATATATATATATATATATATATGTATATATATATGTATATATACACATATATATATATTTATGTATCTACACATATGTATACATACACGATGTCAATGCAATAATACGAGCAACAGAAGAATCTCCGTAAACTTTTCTGCGATCTGCACGCAGGACCTCTACAGTATTTAATAAACAAGTATTTCATTATTTCTTTATCTTTTTCTGTCAAACATGGACCGATATCGTCTTACATGCGTATGTAAATACGTTGCTCGTATACGCACGCGTGTGGATGCATGTGCGTGCAGGCGTGTAGACGTGCGTGCCTGTGTATAGAATTCTTTCTATACGATTGACGAACCTACACACGTCTCTATGTGCAAGGCATAGACAGCGCATCATAGTTTAACGCGTACGTAATACGTCTGTCGGGTTTCGAATGGAAAACGGCGAACAATCGAAACGAAACGATCGAACCGATTTAAGAGTTGATTTCAGTATACCGGGACGCATATAATCTCCCCGTATAGCATCATTGTTACTCGTACTATTAATGCTGCTGCTACCGGTGCTGCTACTGCTGTTGCTACACCTACTAGAACAACAACCGCCTAGTACTGCTACTATTGCTGCTACAACTACTATTACTACTATTACTACTATTACTACTGTTACTATTATTACTGCTGCTATCGCTATACTACTATTACTGCTGTTACTACTACCACCACTACTACTGCTACTACTGCTACTACTGCTACTTCTGCTACTACCAAGTGCCACTACTAGTGCTAGTACTACTGCTATTACTGTTAGTACTACCGGCGTATCCGCTCTACTATTTTTTATACATCATAACATGGATTATCAGTTACTCTCACTCGATTCGACCTCGTCACTTTATACGAATAGTACGTGCGTGTAGGATTGGCATCAACATCACGAGGGCAAGGACGAGAGGCACTCTCTCCGTGTGTGTGTGTGTGCGCGTGTGTGTGTGTGTGCGTGTGCGTGTGCGTGTGTGTGTGTGTGTGTGTGTGTACTGTGCGTTGCAGGGTAGACGGGGCAGATCTAACGAGTGCGAGTCCGAGTGGTCGCAATCGAAGGAACGCTGCCCGTTGCCTCGCGCACTTCCGGCTCCAGCGCAACGCGCGCGACGAAAGACCTCTCTTGCCCCCCTGTCGTGCCGTCCCGCAGGACGCTTTTGAAAGAGCGCACGGCACAAGTAATTGATACTCCGATTCCATCGATTCTAACAGACTGTAACCATTTACTATCTACTATCGATTCTTTCCGCTGTACATGCAACCACATGTGAAACGAGTATTGGAACACTTCTGAATAGGAAACACGGATCGGTCGTATCGTAATTACGACTCAACTTGTTTATGTTACATTATACGCAATTCTATCGGTTCGTTCGATAATCAATGTTCCATTGGACACCATCGCTTCCTCGTAATACTAAAAACAAATAAGTGAAATAAAACGAATACCAAAGGATGTATCCATCGGCTAATAAAGGACAAGTATATGTACGTGTGTACCATGTGCATGTATGTAACAGAATCGAGAAGATACTTTGGCTGAAAGTACTAGAAAAGTACATGGAAAGAGATACATACGTTCGATCGTATCGTTATCGATTCCTTGATTACCGCTTATCGACAAATAATAGCGACTCGCGCGTTTGCGAGATTGAATGCCAACTAAATTTACTTTCGACCGATACAAGTAAGTCTTCGCACGCATCGGGGATTTCGATGAATCTCGATAAAGAAATTGTGAAACATAACAAAATAGCGACTCTCGATGTTCGTTTTGAAAGGATCAACTGGCGTAAGAAAAGTTACATACGCGACATTTCTCGAGTCAGTTGCTCTACATGATTCGGGCAGACTGGAATAAATTTCACGGCGTTTAATAGTTTCGTCTCGTCTTTGTTGTTCAAGAAAATTGGTTCTGTTTAATACCACAGAGACAGTAATTCTGAAAACAATCCAATATTTCAATTGTACGTATCATACATGAAAATACAGGTATGCCCGCACGCACGCACACGTACACGCATACTCACGTTTTCGTACGCATGATCCTACAGTCATGTATATTTTTGGTATTATACATGTACGTTTATATATACCGATAGAGATTTCAAACTGTTATTTGAATATTCAAGGACCCGCATCGTAGGTGCACGTACGCGAAAGAAACGCAACAAATCGAAATGTCGTTTAGCTCGCCAACACGTTTCTATACGTCTGGCTACGCTGCACGTAACCGAGAAAATGATCGTGTGCACAACGCAACACGTGTTTTCCTCGTTTATATGTATTTACATGTCGCGAAAAAGAAGAATATTGGCTAGGCTGAATGAATAATAAAGAAAATGATCGCTCCTTAAATCACCAGATAACAGTCTTCATCTTTCGTTCTACATGTACTGTATACGTACATACGTATACATTATTTTATTGTTTGTTGTAGATATTTATTTCTATAGATATAGGTGTACTTTCTGTTTTCTAATTTACAAGCATTAATGATTTAATATCGTGTCGATCTATCGCAATACTCATGAAGAATGTGTTACGAGCCAAGTGTTATCGTTAGTTCGTGAAACGTTTGACCAATTCTTCCGGACGGCATTCCACACGGACGTTCCTCGGGCTGCTCGAATCGCGCGTCTCGTTCAATGAGATTTTCCATTCAATCTTTGCCTCTCCCGTTCCCGCTTTTGCAGCTACGTTTTCGGTATCGAGCATTCCAATCACTAATCTTGTTTTAAGCAACGTTCAAAATAAAGTTTTCTATCACGATGAGAATACTCGAGACCGAAGAGAGCTTCGCGATGCAGCGAACATGTGGAAAACCATCCTTTCACGCACAATAAATGTATACATGTACGTATCCATATACGGAATTATATGAATTTATCTACACTCGTGCTTACGTGTTATGCTATATCGCATATGCAAACACGCGTGTGCATAGAAACTAGAAACGCGCGGACATGCATACATACACGGCTCGAGCATGTCACACACCTGTACACTTTTCCCTTCTTTTACCATCTCTTTCCCCTCCTTCTTTTTCCATCTTTTCGTTTCGTTCCATTCTCTC